GGAGCGTCGTTTCATGAAAATTGCCTCCTGTTACTTGGGCCGCCGTTTTATCTTCGTTATCTCCTCTAATTAAGCATTCTATGGCTCTAATTATATTTCAACGTTTTATTCAGCGGTGTCCCGTCAGTGCGAGGCAATAGCTACCGCTTCCGGTTGCTCGCCAGCTGTTGAAAATCCACGGGATGTGGTTTATACATGAATACTCTTGTTAAAACATTATACGATGAGGTTTTCTTCTTTTAACCCTGACATTTACACAACATTCGCGTCGTTAATCTCAGGTATATTTCTTGCTTTGCGCGCGAGTTGCAAGTTTTCAAAGTTACCTCTGCTTTCAATCCCCCCCCCACCCGCCGAGCCCAAAAGAATATTAAATTAGTTTCTTGCCTCGTCCCTTTTCCGCGTGTCGCTCCCCTTCTCGGAAACGAAGAATGTCGAACGACCTTTCCGTTTAATTTTCCTTTTTTCGTCATTGTTGCTATTCTATCCCCCTCCCCTCCCGCCCACGATTCCCCATCAATCCCACAGGCTCTCTCTCTCTCTCTCTCTCTCTCTCTCTCTCTCTCTCTGTCCCGTATACTCGGGCGCGCACACAAACGCACAAAAGCACCTATTCTTACTACCATTGTACTTCAAAAGTCTCATTCGAAGTACAGGAAAATCTAGATTTCTATGATTTTCTAAGTTCAGCTATGTCTTGTGACACCTGAAAACGCGACAGCCATACGGATGAACGATTGTACGTGCGCTCGGATTCTTAATTTTCCATCTCGTGAGTGAGCCAATCCACACGCGTAACAATATAAAATCGGCACGCCTATCGAGTATTTATCCGGGTAAAACCGATCCCTTCAGGACGCGTTCGCGAGCTGAAAATACAACGTCGCTGTCCAATGTCGGGTCTATTGTTGAGTCCTTGCTCGAACAAAGCTCCTTCTAATTACTCTCTTTACGATCTTTTCCAACGTCCAATCAGATTTCCTCATTTCCCTGGGCACTCTAGAAAGTAATCTCATTAACTCACTACCGCCATCGAACCCATTTCGCTCACCCACGCTCTCTCGTTCGCTGCCCCTCCCCCCTCGTCCTCACCCGCCACAACCTCCCCCTCTCTCTTTCTCTCTCTCTCTCTCTCTCTCTCTCTCTCTCTTTCTCTCTCATTCTCTTATTCTCTCAGTCGCTATTATTTTTTGAATTGTTTACATCCATCCTTAAAGCCCCATAACCGGCATGTTTTCTCTAAGCCACTCGATTGTACGCGATACGTCTGATGATGCTTTGCTGTCCTTGTGGGCGTCGTTTTAATCAGATCCCAACATGACATAGTTTTGGTCATTGTGCCCGATGATTTATACGTTCACCTTTAATGACTTAACACGAAGAAAAAAAAAATGATTTTCTCCACTGGGTTATAAGTTATAAGCTTAATTTTAATAGGTTTTCACGAATACTATATAATTCAACTAGTTGACTATATTATTTCTTCCCTTCCCCTTATTTCGAGCATTGATGGTACGATCTCGTTTTTAATAAGACAATTTCCTGGCTACATAATTACGACTTTTTACCAGCATGATGTATAATATTAATTTGTACTTTCTTCTCTATTTTGTTATTCATTTGGTTTACATTGAGTGAAAAAGAGATTAATGAGCGGCCGTAACTCAAGGTTGAAATGCATTAACGGTGAAAACAAAACCTTTAATTTAGAAATCCAAATTACAGCTCGGACCGGGTGCTGGCTCGTTTTTTAATCATCATCTTTCTCTCCGACGGCGGGAATTCCCAGAACAATTCCATCGGGCAAGATCTGGGCGATATTGTTATTCCGTGAGTAAAATATATCGTGGCGTTCACCAGTTTTTCTTATCTCGGTCTCTGCTAGTGTTGCGTTATATACCTGGTTGTGCTGTGGCGACGACACGCCGAAAATCGACCGATTTTAATTAATAAACGTTCGACCTTTCTCGGTAACGCTCAGCGGGTGATTCCGTCGGGGGACATAAGTGTCAGGTTCGCTCCCTCTTTGTCGCGCGCGCTGTCTTTCTCAGGTAAGTATCCCGTTGGACTCCCCCGTTCCCAACCCCGCTGCGATCTCTCACTCGCTCTAACTCTCAACTCCCTCACTCTCACTCTCACTCTCACTCACTCACTCTCTCTCTCTCACTCTCTCTCACTCTCACTCTCTCTCTCTCTCTCTCTCTATCTATCTCTCTCTCTCTCACTCTGTATCTATCTCTCGACTATACCTGGCGAGCATTGGGATGAGCACTCGTGGCTCTTGGAGGCCGACGATATTCCTCTCCTATGTACACGGGCCCACCTAATATCTCCCTTCTTGTCCCGCTGCGTCTTTTGCTATTTCTCTTGTTCTCTTAAACGCACGGCCGAATGCGTTCTTCGATTTTCAAATACAATGAGAATGGACCCGACACCAATGTAACGGAGGCCTTCGCTTCGGAATTTTTAGCGGATCTATTTGGCCGTCTTATTGACGAACGGGAAGTTTCGTTTTCTCATGCCCCATAACTGACACATCCAATTATGACCAATAACAATTCCGTCTTAAATGCCGAGGCCCACGGCCGGGCCTTCCTACCATTCCTAGCATATAACACACACGCGCGCAACTATAGCCAGATCTGCTTATACGTCTTCGATCAGATTAATTAGAAATTTCTTCCATACCGGGGCTCCGAGTACCAAAAGTTTTTAAGTGGCCATCATTAATTTTGGCCCGACCAACTATAGATTAAACATATAGCATAACAAATAATTATGAATATTGACCAAACTCCCCTAATCTCACTGTTACACTATTGATTTCGATGGGCAACTGTTAATCATAATGATTAATACATTACGTAAGACGTGAAATAGGAGGGAATTTATTATAGTAGACAGAAGGGAAAAGTTATCATTATACTTCCATTGCATAAAGAATTTGGATATTTTATTTGAATTATGGTGGCTGATCTTAAAGCGCTAAGCTCAAATTTATGAAAATATATTGCCAATTCGAAAGCAAATGTACATCGCCGCTTGAATAAACCTGTCGCTCGCAAAAATTTTCCGTCCAACCCTACCTCGCGTCTAACCGACGCGACAAGCTAACGTATTTCCAACTCGCAACAATCTAATATCAAAGAATCATCGTGAGTTTCCGCGACTGTGCCAGCGCCATTGTGTCGGACCCGAACACGCGCGAGGACCTATTAAGTCCGAGCGACAAAATCCAAGCTCAAGCCGTCGGTGCGGAGGATCGTCAAAAACCTCGGCACCGTCGAGGTCGGCGCGCAACTAAGCAGAGCCGAATCTCGCGCTCCTACGATGGGTCACCGATAACAAAATGATAATCTCCAAGTATAATAAAGACAGTAATCACCAGGATGATAATGACAAGGTGAGTTGGTGCGGGAGGGGAGCGGTGGAGAGAGGGAGATCGTGCGCTTCAGAGACCTGGATGTCGCCTGCGGGGACGACGATCCAGCGCGATAACCGTAATTAATGATTGCAATCGTACGAAAATGAGCACTGCTCGGGGATGGGGTTGGGGGAGGGTGGTAGCGGTCGGGACAGTCAAAGACTGCGATAACGAGCATTCCAGTGATCTTATTAGTGATAAAGCGACGATAACGAGCGAGCGTTTCGTTGATATGGAGCGATAACGATTGCGATCACATCCAAGACTGTTGCTCCTTTACGGGGAGGCTGCACTCCTCCGCGTCATCCTTACCGAGCAGTTGCGTTTTATTCGCGTGGTTAGTGGTACTTGTGATCGACAGGTGAATTTAAGTTCTTGCCCGGTGTGCGTTACACTCGGCAAGTCGCAATGTTCAACAATGCACTAATTTAGAATTTAAAATTAAATAATTTAATTACTAGCCTGGTTAATCACAAATGATCTTGTTGCAGTTTTCCGCATGATTTACATTAGTTTTCGTAACTTTGCGTCGCTTCATTTAGTGCTGTAATTCA